TGACTTGCTAAAAAGCACAATGGACCTTACAAGTTGACTTGCTAAAAAGCACAATGGACCTTACAATTAGCTTGTGCCATAAGCTACATTGTACCATACTCTAGCTGGTTTCACATCCTAATATGATTCCGTTCTCACGCCTCTATGCTCCATTGATCATCTAATTCAAAAGTACCCCCCTTACAGCGTCTCCTTTTAGCAGCTCAAATAAGGGGTGCAAATCTCCGGTTGAAATCCCCAGCACAGGCCGAATCCAATTAATTGCTCCCAGTAGCTTCTGGAGGTCATTCAAAGTTCGGACTCCTTTATCAATTAAAACTGATTAAGGCTTGATAGTTTTTGCAGTAATTTGTAGTCCAAGATACCTCCAAGGTGCTTCCCTTTGAATCTTTTCAGGGGATATCTCCAATCCTTTCTCTTTTAGAGCCGAAATGGTTGAATTTAGAGTCTTATCTACCACCGATTGGGATTTAGCGCAGATCAACACATATCCATGTAATGGAAGATGATTGACTGCGGATGTTTCTGCCGAATTGGACGCAAGACCCCTGCGACAAACATTTGGCAGAGTGTTGGGGAATTTTTCATCCTCTGGGGAAACACCTTCCACTGGAACCTGCGGTGAGGTTCACAAGCGTTGATTGCCGGGATAGAGAATGCGAATTTTGCCGAATCAGCCGGATTCAAATATATGTGAAAGAAACAGTCCTTAATATCAATAACCACTAGGGGCCATTCAGCAGGGAGCATAGATGGTGATGGCATTCCCTGCTGGAGGGCTCCCATTGGTTCCAGGACCTCATTAACTTTGCGCAGGTCCTGGAGAAATCTCCAGGAACCTGAGGATTTTTGGATTACGAACACTGGAGTGTTCCAGGGACTGGTGGAAGACTCCAAGTGCCCTTTTGTTAATTCCTAATTGACCAGATAATTTAAAATTTGCAGCTTTTTATGAGGTAGGGGCCACTGATCGACCCAGACTGGCGTTTCCGTCTTCCATCTCAGTCTGGGGAGCTGCAGTACTTCAGTGACCCCTCCTAAAAATTTTCCTCAGGAGACAGGGTCCCTAACTTGAGTTCCCACTGCTCCATCGCGTCCCGTCCCCAAAGTGTAACTGGAATGTTTAATACATACGGTTGCAGAGACGCCGGCCTGCCCTCTGGCCCATAAATGGTGAGTACCTCTCGGCTTCTGACCGGGTATTAGGTTCCCCCTACGCCGCTGACTTGGACATACACTTTTTGGGCTGGCCACCCATTTGGCCAGTCCTTGGAGGCTATGATTGTTACATCCGCCCCCGTGTCAAGGAGACCCTCCACCTTGACCTGCTGCGGTTTCCTAGCCTGTGAGAAATAGACAAGGCAGGTTAGGAGAGGGCGAGAGATTTTTACAGTTGTGGTCCAGAGGACCTCCCTCTGTGTTTTTTCCCTCTGCTCCTCATCCGTTGACATCATGCACAGCAGGTCTTCGGTGGAGACCATCTTCACCACGGGGAAGCGGTTCTCCAGCTGCACGGGGGGAAGATGAACAGTTAGACAAATGGCGATGTTAGAATTAGTTAACCCAGTCAGAAGAGTAGGTACAACTACAGTGCCCTTACCCACTGCCGAAAAGTGTGATGTTATGAGATATATCAAATCCGGGTCGACTGGGGCTGATGGTACGACCCTGGCCAACTGCTCATAGGAGCTGAGGTGGGTGGAAGGGTGTATGACATTAAGAATAATCCAATTAAGGGGTTTACATTGGTCTTTAGTAGGGACAGGTTCTGCCAGGGCAGCCGGGTTACGGGGTAGCTGGGCGCAATGGTTGACGCAGGATGGAGTGGGGGGCAATTTGTGTCATCACGCCCCCCGGGCGCTCTGCTCCCCGTTTCCCGACGGCTCGCATGTACACGGTCTTAAATCTGGTAGAGAAGAAAAAGTGACCCTTTTCTGTAATCTGGGTGAGTTCTTAGGGGAAAGGGGTTCGCCATTGACATTGGTCATCGAGCGGCAGCTCGAAGTCCAATGGCGTCCTTTCCCGCACCTACAACAGAGTGTTTTGGGTAAATTTGGTTCTGATGATACTTTGGGACAGTGTTTGCAGAAATGCCCTTTCTCACCACACCCGAAACAATGTTGGGGACCCGTAAAGGTAGCGACCATCAGACATGCTTTATGGGCATGGGATCCAATGTTTTTGCATGCGTCGATCATTTCTAGCAGAGTGGGATCTTTTAGCACCTTTAAAACTCGCTGGCAGTCCTCATTAGCTTTTTCTATTACCAATTTATTAAATAAAATCTCTTGACTTTCCTTTTGGTGGACTTGCCTAGCAATAGCTTCTTTAAGCCGAGTTATGAATTCAACGAATGGTTCTTTTGTGCCTTGATTAATTAAAGTGAAAGAGGGCGTTTGCACATATGCATCAGCCACTCTTTTCACGGCTTCTAACGCCAATTCTTTTGTCGCATTTAATAATTTAGGGTCGAGACGAGTTTGATCCCCTCTGCTAGAATAATTCCCTTCCCCATAAAGCATGTCCACCGCTTGCCTGACAGGGATCCCCCTTCTCTCCATTTTATCAGTAACATACGTCACAATCCGCTTTTTCCATTCAGCCTCAAACACGGAGGCCTGTACTGTGGTAAACAACCCCCCAGTTACAGCCCGAATGTCATAGGGTATGGGGGTATAAGCGAGGAAGAAGGACTCCAATAAACCGATAGTAAACGGAGCCCCCAACCCGTATTCCACGATTGCTTTCTTAATGTCCTTTAACATGGGATATGAGATTGGCCTCCATTCGGGGGCCTTTCCTTCTTCAAAGTACACCGGGAAAGCTTTTAAGAATTCAGTGTTTTTTGCGCTCACTGCTTCCTCCCTGAAGACTTTCCAGATGTCTGGAGCTGTAGGTTGCCTTTCAGGGGAGCGCAGCGCCCAGTCACAGTCCAATTCTAAGTCGCGGCAGGCGGGGTAGGCCTTGGTGGTACGTGGCCTATGGGCGCGGCCATCTTGGTGGAAGTAAGCTTTGGCCTTTGCCCTTGCCCCGCCCACTGCTTCCCACCCCTTCCTGGAGGGCGACACATTGGGGGAGGAGACAGGACTGGCGGAAGTAGGCGTGGTTGAAGGCGTGTCAGGGGAGGGGCTTCTCGAACGACGTGTAGGTGGAGACGGAGGCAGGCCAGAGGGTGGAGCTACAGGGGCCCGCCTCCTCTTTTCCCGCGCCGATCTTTCCCGCGGTTCTCCCTCCCGCCTTTTCTCTGCGCGGTCCCGGGGTCCCTCCTCCTCGACACCATTTTTCGATCGTCACGATCCTCTTTTTCGCGCCCTCCCGCCATCTTGTGACTCACTGTCCATCTCCCGCCCGCCATTTTGTGTGCCTTTGTGGTCGGTGTCTTGATTCGTGTGCTGTGTTTTTTCTTTAGGGAGGCTGATGTTCTCGTTCATCATTTGGTGCTGTAGCACCATCAGAACAAGCCTCCACGCTATGAGTGCTTCTTTAGCTTTTCTGTTGCCTTTATCACCATCTCGCCAGAGGCTGTAGCCTAAGGCTTGCCACTTTTCCAATCTGATGTCATCTGTTATCGTGCAGCCTTGGCGGTCTAACCACCTGGTGAACGCTTTAGCTGATTTTTTGTCAAACGGATGGCCATGCTCAATAACAAAGTTATTAAGGCGACGGTAAACAAACTTCTGGGAGGTGGAAAGTGTGAGCCCCATGATGTTAGCCGGGTTTCTCAACACACTTCCAGATATTATTCCTCCCTTTTTAATTTTAGGTTACGGGGGTGAGGTGTTGGGTGAGGGTGTTAGGAATGTCCCCTGCAGCTCACCTTTCCAGGTGCGCGACTCGCTCGAAGTCCACAGCTGTCAACTATGCAGAGGAGGGCCGGCGGAGCGATCTCCCCTCCTGGAGATGCTTGAGCCCAATTGGCAACACAGGAGTTCTCCTGATAACAGGAGACCTCTACTGTGCCCCACGTTGGGCGCCACTTGCCACGACCCGCAGGGAAAGGAATGGGATCGGGCACTGCAAATCAGGGTCTTGACACAGTAGAAGTCTCGGGAAGCAATGCCAAACTTTATTAGGGAAACAGTAACTTATAAAGGGTAGGTTTAGGCGTGGAGTTTGGGCTAGGGAGGAGCATAGGACGGACAACTCAGGGATAAATGTGATTGGGTAACTGGGTAAGGAGGGGAGGAGTTTGGATGTAACTGGGGAAATGGGCCAATGGTAGCTGCCTCTGCACTGCACCAAAGATCAGCCAATGGCAGGCAGAGGAGCAGGAAAACAGGGTTAAGGCGGGAAAACTGTGAGGGGAAGAAGGAGACAATATGGAGGATAAATTTAAAAACAACAACTGGGGGTACACACAACCATATGACAATACAATAATGAACTGGGGAAAACTGGGGTAAAACTGTCAAGTCCAGGAAATGTCATATCCAGTATAAGAATGTCCAATCCGGTACAAAAGTGTCCATTTAGGGGTCATAAATCTTTCTCCAAGCTTCATATTTTTCCCAGTCCGTCTCTCCTCCTCCAATATTGACGGCATGGCTTTTCCCCACCATTGGGTGGGTTTTTCCCTTGCATGTAATGGTTGGGCTTTGCCAGGGCTTCTGCTGCCCTCTTGGACACCAGTGGCTTCTTCTACAACCCCAAGTTTGTAACCAAGAGTCAGGGGCCGGTGAGAAGGCAGTGGGTCACAACGTGTGCCACTGGGGCAGGCCCCACATTGCCAGGGATGCTGGGGTGAGGCTCTGGGAGCAGGCAGCATCCACCTGATGAACTCCATCTGTATTCCGTAGGAACACCGTCATACAACCCGCCAGAGTGGATCTGCTTCAAACGCTACCGCGGCGAGGCGGCCACAATCTGGTCCCTGGGCATCCTGCTCTACCAGATGGTCTGCGGGAAGCACCCGTTCTGCAGAGGCACCAACACCATCTGGGACCAGCTCCCGTTCCCACCACGGGTCTCTCGAGGTGGATACCAATCTTTGTGGCACGGGGGGAATAACGGTGTTGGGAGACAGCAGCGGGCTCACGAGGACGCCGCTCTTGAAGCTGTTTCTGTCCCATGGTTGGCTGGAGGAGGTGGCCTGTGTCCTGCCATCCTGCTCTCCTCCAAAAGGGAGAATCGATGGAGAAGTTTGGGCACAACTCTGAGCACAGTCAGCACAGCCTGGGCGCGTGGACAGTGGGACAAAGGGGACAGGATCCTTCTCCAACTGACCAGCGATTTTCCCCCCAGGGTGCCAGCACCTTATCAGGTGGAAGACCTTTTGTGCCATCCTTGGGTGCAGGGCATTCACCTGCTCTAGAAGACGGGAGAGATCCACGTGCTCACTTTGATCCAGGGGCCTGGCAAGTAACACCTCCACACGTCTCTTGGCAATAAGAAGCAAAGAAAACCAGACTTTTTTGTCATGCCTGTAGCACTGAGGGGGGATCATCACATGGGAACATGCACCTCTTTGTGCTGGAGCTGGGCTGCAGACCCGGTCTCCCAAGTGCTGGTGGCCACCATCCAACCTGGTTTTGCTCATCCTGCTTCACAGACAGCTGGGCCCTCGGCAGAACACTGACAGCCTGGTCTGGCCCCCAGGGAAGGAGAAGGGGCCTCTGGAGAAGCTGTGCTGGGTGGGGCTGCTGCTGGAGACATCGAGGACGACGTCAGGGATGACCAGCTCTTTGTTGTTGACCTGGACACTGGGGAGCTGAAGATGATGGACTTTGATTGTGGCCCCTTCCTCCAAGCCGTGCTCCACAGGCCGTTTGCAGATGAGTCCACACCCGGGGGTGCTCCCGGCCGCGGGCATTGCTCAGCCTGGCTGGGCACCGAAGGGTCCCCCTTTGCTGGTGGGGAACCCGATGAATTCTTCAGCCGGCTGCCAAGCTGCTTCTTGGCAGGAGGGCGGGCGGGTGCTCTGGGCTGGGTGTGAAATGGGAGCCCGGCTCTGCCACCAGCCTCTGCCACTGCCCCTTTGCTGGGCGGGGCTGGGGCAGGGGCAGCCAGCCTGCCAAAAACAAACCCCCGTGGGGGGAGCAAAGGTGGGGCTGCAGAACACCAGCTGCTTTGGGCTGCAGGCCAGGAAAGGCTTGGGCTGCCTTGGCTTAGGAGCCTTTTTTTGGGGGCAGTGCAGCAGGGCAGGGAGAAGGCCTGGGTTTTCCTTAGCTGGAGGAGGTGGGGTTTTTCTTTGGCCTGGAGGGGTTGGGCCTTCCTCAGAACCCTGACAGAATGTTAACATTTTACCTTTTTTTCTTGTTTCCACTTTTTGTTTGTAATCTCTGTTCATGAATTTGTTGTTTGTTTTCAAGGGAAGAGTTGGAGCTGGTGCCCAGTCTGGATTGGGAAGGGCTGGGACCATCCCTGGAGAGGATCTGACATCCCCTCTGAGAAGGCTGAGGACATCCTTTGGGACATGCTCTTCTTCCAGCAGCAGATCTTGTGAGGTAGATCCTTATCTTGCCCATCTTCTCAGCAGGAGTGGGATAATGGCTTTTGGGAGATGGCAGCAGGCACATGAACATCTCGCTCTTGCAGCTGCTGAGGAGGTTGATCTCCTGGGCTTGGCTGGAGGAGGTGACACGTGTGTTGAGTAATTTCTCAAATCCAATCGATCTGGGATGACCCCAAGTGACAGTTTAATTTTCACCTTGCTCGAGCTGTACCTCAGCTGTTCTCTGAACAGTTCTCTCCCCCACCTGCCTGTTACTTCCCAACTGCTCCCTCTTTTCCCTGCAATGAGTTCCCAGCTTGTCATGGTCTCCATCAAACCATTGATAGAAGAAATAGAAACTCTACTCCCAGTACCCCGGAGTGCCCAAATGAGGAACAATGTAATCCTGGAAAAGTTCTAGAGAATTTGATAAGGGATGTCCCAAACAAGCAGGATGTAAACTAAGCCCTATGTACCCAGATAAAAGAAGCACAATGATGCTGTGCTGCTCAAGAACTGAGGTCAAGATGACAGAGAAGGCCCGGAAGGACCAGAAAAGGACTTCCAATAGGGGTGTGACTATGTAAAGCAGAGTAATGAATATGTATTAAGTAAGCAAGGCTATCAAATGCACATGTAAACAGTGTGTGTAATAAAAAGCCCTGTCTGTCATTTGGCATGTTGGATTAGAGGAACTCTCCTCTGAGCATCCAGCATGCTGAACAAAGAAGAATGCCCTTTTTAACATCTCCAAATTGGGGTGAAGAAGTTTGTTTCTGCTGCTTTTGGGTGTAATTTTTGGCCCCCCAGACAGGACACCTCTGCCTGATCTCCCAAGGATCCGAGGGATCTCTGGATCTTCAATCAGCACCAGGACTTTGCTGCAGAAGAGCACAGATCCCCAGCCCAGTCTGGGACACAGGTAAGATCCCACTGGATAATAAGGAATTCTCTTTGGGAATCCTACCCATGTCAAACATATGGATCTTTCAGCGCACTGGGGGGTTCTTTGGTATTTTGGGAATCCTGCTCATCTGAGACCTGTGGGTCTTCCAGCCCTTTGGGTGGGTTATTTGGTATTTTGGAATTTGGTATTCGGTTTTGTTTTATCAATCAATATTGTTGTGTACTTGTTTGTTTCTGTATTGTAACATTTTGGGTCTACTGTTTAGAGATGGGGAGTGGGCAATCTGAAGGGGGAATTGTGAAGAAGTCCCCACTTTGTTGCATTTTGCAATTTTGGATGAAGTTTGACAGCCCCCCCAGAGGAACAGCTCCCAGGGAGAATTTAATGAGGTGTTGTAATCAATGGGTGGCTGTTCTGGAACATTGAATTCTAATCCACTGTTACAGTTGATGCTGTTTCAGAAGGGGAACAGAAGTGGAAGGAGGTTATGTCTGGTGATGTGTTTTTCACTTTGCAGAACCCTCTGAAGTGGCAGAAGGATTGTGGTGTGAATGCAGCGCCCTCAGAGCCCTCGGTGTGAGCCTGGAAAGGAAAATCAAGGGAAATGGTTAAAACCTTGTTGTTCAATGTGGAGCACAGGAGAACTTTGTTCTCATCGTCTCCCCGATAAGGAGGAGGACTTAGATCTTCTGGTTGGCCCCACGGGCAAGTTGAGTGGGGGAACAGATAATCAAGATGCAGAAACCAATCTTGCAAGGGAACTAGCATGTGAAGAGGCAGATTTAGCATGTCCAGAAGAAAAGGGAGAGAGAATGTGTCAGAGAGAGAGCAGAGAGCTTCAGTGCAGCTGCAGGAAGAACTAGAGCTAAACAAGGAGGGGTGGGAGTGGCCCCCCTGTGTGATAGAACTCAGGCTAGATGGCAAAAGCATCTACCTGCAGTGGATATTATCTGGAATGAAAAATGCCAGGCCAAAGGCAATGAACATGTCAAAATTCTTTACAATGAAGCAGGTTCACAGGGAATAGCCTACTGACTGGAAGAAACGGCAAAAAAATATACGAATATACATCCTGAAACACAGGGGGGAAGGACTCAACTGGCCCCATATTTGTGGGGCACTCCTCAGATGTGGTTAGGTGGAAATGACAAAAAGCTGAGGGACAAGATCAAGATAATTTCAGGACATTGTTGGAGGTTGGGAGAATCAGCAGGAATCAACTCAACAGGAAGGAGTTGCAGTTCTGGAAGAAATCCCAGAGGAAATGGTGCCCCCGGGGAGAGGAAGAGGATGAGAGCATGGGCAGCCTGCTTCAAACATCCCCCCCAGGAGACTTCGTATCAATCCATGTGCATCCTGTAAGAAAGATGGACACTGTAAATGGGATTGTCCACAACTGAAACTTCAGAACCCTCCGAACCCTCTCCTGGCATCACTGAAGACGACTGAAGGGGCACCAGAAGATTCTTCCCCATCAGAACATCTGGTTCCAGCCAAGTTAAGTACAATTGTTTGTGGCTATGGGAACTTGTTCCTCTGTGTTAAATCTGGGAAAATGAAACTCAAGTCACAATTCTGGAACAATTGTCTGGTGCAAGAGGGAATTGGGGAACTGGGCCATTTTTAATGCTGTGGATTTAAAACTGGGAAAACAGTGGTTGGCTCCCCAGTATTTCCCCAATTCACCAAAGCGTCAGCCTGGGAGAGATCTCTTGGAAAAATGAAATGCCACAATCCAATTTAAAAATGATAAAATATAAGTTATTATTGCAGAGCCTAATTCTGTGGAAGATTCTAGTTTTGCATGAGAATCTCCAAAAGGAGAACTAATCCATCTGCCAACGTCACCTGGGGATGCAGTGATTCCAACAGGATGGGCTGGAGAGGTACATCCATGATCCAAAAGAGCAGAACCCATGAGATTTCCAGTGAAACCTGGAGCAGGGTTGGTCAGGCCAAAGCAATAGCCTTTGAAAATGGAAAGTTGTGAGGGATTCTCACCCTTTGTAGAAAAATTGATGAAATTTTGCTTGTTAAAAGAATGTGAATCTAAATGTAATGCTCCAATTTTGCCAGTCAAGCAGGCAAATGGAAGGCTATACCAGTTACTCCAAGACCTCAGAGCTATAAATAATAGAGTGGAAGATATACAAGCAGTTGTAGCGAATCCTTACACTTTACTAACTCCCCTAAATGAAAGTTTAATATGTTTCACAGTATTAGATTTGAAAGATGCCTTTTTCTGTCTCCCTTTGAGTTGTGAAAGTCAAGAGCTTTTTGCTTTCAACTGGGAAAATCCAAAACCAGGGAGGAAAACCCAGCTGACTTTGGTGGTCCTCTTGAAGGGATTTAAAAATAGTCCCCCAGTATTTGGAACTCAATTGGCAAAGGAACTGGAGGAATGGAAAAGTCAAAACCCTCTTGGAGCCTTATTCCAGTGTGTGGATGATATTTTGATAGCCACTGATGCTGAGCAGCAATGTTGGGATCAGACACTGTGGAATTTCCTTGGACTGGGTGGATATGGGGTGTCCCAAACACAATGTGCAAGTAGTCCAGACCCCAGGAGCCTCCCTGGGCTTTGGAATTCTCCAAGGACAATGGAGGCTGGGCCAGGAACAAAAGAAGCAACCTGTCAACTGCCCCAGCCCCAGCAAAGGAAGCCCAGAGCAGGATTGCTTCCAGACTAGAGGAGCAGTGTGTTCGGGCAGAGCTGACTTAGGAGACAGCCCCTGGGAAAGTCCTGGTTGGGAATTGTTTCCCAGCGGAGGCAGCTTTGTCCAGCGTGGAAAACAATTCTCTGGATGCACAGGAACTCCCCCCAGCAGGTCATGGAATTGGGGGCACTCCTCTGCAGTGCCTCAGCCCAGAAAGCAGAACCAATTGTGCTCACTCCAGCTTGGGGATTGAGTCAAGGAGAACAAGTTAATCCTTGGACTTGCTTGAAGATCTCCAGAAACCAACAGAGGCTGCTGTCCTGCATTGCAGAGTGCACCAAGAGGGGA